AAAAAGAAGAAAAATAGTTGACTCTCAAGAGATGTTCCAAATTCTTATGTTCATTTTACAACTGGAAGTCAAGTTCAAAATTAAAAAGTTAAAACTCAAAGTTGTTGAAGACATAATTATATAAATAAAAGTATGCCCTCTCTAACAACTTAAGTTTTTAGATGAGGTGATCACATAATTCAACTTGGCATAGTGGTCAATGAAATATGTTGAGAACCATAAGTCTCAGGTTCAAATCCCAGCGGGGTTGTTGGAGGGTGGTTTTCACTATGTCGAAAAAGAAGAAAAATAGTTGACTCTCAAGAGATGTTCCAAATTCTTATGTTCATTTTACAACTGGAAGTCAAGTTCAAAATTAAAAAGTTAAAACTCAAAGTTGTTGAAGGCATAATTAGATAAATAAAAGTATGCCCTCTCTAACAACTTAAGTTTTTAGATGAGGTGATCACATAATTCAACTTGGCCTAGTGGTCAATGAAATATGTTGAGAACCATAAGGTCTCAGGTTCAAATCCCAGCGGAGATAAAGATACTAGGTGATTTCTTCTTTGGCCAGGCCTTGGTGGAGAGTTACCCGGTATTCGTGTTGGTTGAAGGTAGCAAGTACCTTCGCAATTAGTTGAGGTGGGCACAAGGTGGCCCGGACATCACAGTTATCAACAAACAAATTTCAACATGGTGTCATCAGAAGATTCTGAATTCAATCTTCACCCCAACCAATCATAAATAAAAAAAAACAAATTCCACATGCTTGGTCCATGAAAATAAAACACACATCCACATGAGGGGCATGTTGAAAATATAGTACAAATAAAAAAGAGTACTCTCACAGCTTAAACTATCAGCGAAGTTGATCAAACAATTATAACAAAAGTTTCAGATGTTATTTTTGTTCATATAGAACCAGAAAACAAAACAAACGTCACAATCACATTGAAGCTAAAATTAAATTTCTGATCTTGTTATTTATCTAGTGAGTCCCTGTAATCCAACATCAGTTTACATATACACCAAAGAAAGAGAATTACAGATCGACTTGGTAGTCTGAACTTTGGGCATAAAGAACTTAAAAACAATGAAACTTCCTCATTTTCATTGTACTGACTCAATTACTTAACTAACAATCCATTGAAAACCTTACCCTAGTATTTTACACTGCATTTTACAACCTAATCTACAATAGATCACTCTCCAAATAAGGTTGAAAATACAGAAAGACAAAATTAAAATATGATATCCAGAATCTGTCAAAGTCATGCAGTCACCTACCATTATTTCTCAGCATAATACAGAATGAGAAGAACAAAAAGTTAATGTTTTTTTTTTAGGTTTTACTAAAACCATGCATTAGATATTAGCTAATACACCTTGCATCATAAAGGCATATCAATTATGTTTTCTAAAAGAACTCAGAAAAGCAAAGAACTGGCATATAGGAACATGAAAACCTAACCAAGTTCAATTAAGATGACCTAATTGATTGTTTTCCGGTCTACAATCGGGCAATATTCTATAATCGTTTGGAAGTAAAAGGTAAACACAAACAAGCTCCAAAAGATAAATAAAGTACTAACATGACTAAAGCACATCCTCAACTAATAGGTATGTCTCATATAGATCTTTTGCTTCCATTGTGCAACTTCCTTCCAAGTGATTATAGGTCTACCTCGTCCTCTTTTAACATATTCATTAATCATAGTTTCACATTTTCAAACATGTGGATTTGGCTGTCAACGCGGGACATGACTATACCATCTCAAGAGATCTTCTCTCATTTTATCGTGTCTAGTTTTTTATGACTGCACATGCATCTTAGCATTCACACCTCAACGTCACTCATCTTGTGGATGCGTTAGAGTTTAACGGCCCAACATTCACTTCCATATAACATTGTTGGTCTTATAACTATTCTATAGAACTTACCTTTTATTTTGGTGGGTATCCTTTTATTACATAACACACCAATAGCACTTCTCCATTTCAACTATTCGATTTTGATTCTACGTGTCACATTTTCATCTATCATTCCATTCTATTCTCTATGAACAGCGAGCCTAAATATCTGAATTTTTTGCTTTTAGGCATCGCAATCCCGTCTAATCTCACCTCGATTTTGTTCTTCTTATGTTGACTGCAGTGTATATTCGGTCTTACTTCTACTCATCCTGAAATCCTTACTCTCAAGAGTATTTCTCCACATCAAGCTTTTGGTTGACACTCACACGATATTATCAGGAAATAGCATACACCGCGCAGCCTCGTCTTGTATTGTATTGGTGAGCTCATAAAAAAAATGAATTTTTTTTTTAATTAATATCACTAAGGTTCATGAAGAATGTTGCTACCCTGCGATTGAAAATAATCCAAATTTATTAATATCACTAAGGTCCACCAAAAATGTTGTTGCCCCTATGATTAGCCATTAATGTTCACTTCATTTTCTCTTCACTAAGATTCAAAACAACCACAACATGATCTTCAAATCAAGCAAACTTCAGAGGGAAAAAAAAAGTAAAAAGTAATTTACCTGTATAAGGGACTGTAATTTCTGCTGAACCAATTGTTTCTTCTGCTTAGCTTCATTAAGAGCAAATGTGAGGCTACACAAACGAGCTAATTCCTGTTCATAATCTTCCCATTGTATTATTAACTTCACATTTTTTTGGTCTTCCTGATTTTGCATTAAAGCTAATTTCTTTGATTCCATTCACAACTAAAAAACCACAAGATTTTGATTGAAGTTTTAAATAATTCAAAAAGGGTAGTTGAAAATCATGGTTTTTCATCATGGGTACTTCAAATCTTGAAAAATTAAGGTACCCAAAATCCCATTTTGAGAAGTCAAGAAAATATTTTAGGAGAATTATTGGAATTAGGGTTTTGAGAATCAAGGAAATTGAAAAGGGGAAAGATGGGTTTATTGCTTATTTTTGGGGGTTGTGTTTGGATTTGGATCGAATGGTTTTTCCACTTTTGTTTGATCACTTTCTTGAAATGGGTGTGGAAGGGTGTCTAGGCTGAGAGGAATTAGAATATTGCAAAAATATAGTATTAGTATTTCCTATTTATGCAGCTTTTCTTTTCAAGTTTTTCTTTTGTTTTAAGTTACTGAGAACACAAAACCTTATATTAACGGGGCCTATTTGTACATTATACCATTTTACAATTTTAAAATTAAAAATATAATATTTTTAGATTTTTTTATGCGTAAAAAAATATATCTCTCATGCATAAAATTAAATCTTTTATGTATATAAAAAAAAGGTCATATGAAATTTTCTTTACACTTGCTGGTTTATGACCAAAAAATAAAATTAGATCTTCAATAAATGTGTGAACAACACATGTGAAATTTATTCATCCACTAAAACTAGTGCCTGATTCAATATGTATTAAGTTTCATCTAGCGTCGAGGCTATTTTTTAAAACACTTTCTTACATAGGGACAAAATATAAACAATGGCCTAAAATTAATCCTATTTGTACAAATTGCCTGGTCCGGTTAAAATCTACCTACATTATAAATTGCGGCTATGTTTTAAATAGCACGGACCCGTTTTGACATAAATTTTGATGGAAGTTTTTTCCAAAAAAAAATATTTTTTTTCGAAATCAGTATTTGTTCATAAAATTTCTAATTTTCACTTGAAGATGCCTTTTGAAAATTTTCAAAAATTTGAAAAACTCCAAAAAATTATTTTTTAAAAATTTCACTCAAATCACTTACAAAACTTCAAAAACAACCCAAACTGAAATTTGTGTCCAAATACAACTCTAAATTTCAAATATTATTTTCACTTGAAAAATATTTTCACCATTTTTTCGAATTTTACAATTCTTATGTCCAAACGCCTACTAAAAATGGCTAGCATTTCTATGATTATATGGGATTTTAACACAAATAGCCAGCCATATTTATTATTTACTTTTTTAGCCGGTATACATAGATTATACATTAATTATATACAGTAATATACATATAAAACATGAATTATACTTATAATATACATTCATCGGCTATTTATAGCTTAAGCAATTACGTGACGGGCTATTTGGGTTAATTCCATACAAGTGCGTCAAGAAAATCATACTTCCAAATTCCTCTTTCTATTGTTGACGCAAATAAAGGAAAATATAAAAGCATAGCCACAATTAGGGAGGTAAGAAGGGAAAGTGAGCAAATTTTCTTTTCGCTTGCTTGTTCATAAACAAAAAAAAATCATAAAACTTGCAAACAATTAAAAATCACATGTTTGTCCATCCAACAATATTCAGCTTATTTTGAGAAGTGATTTTCTCAAAAGTACTTTTCAAAAATGTGCTTTTGGTGAGAAGCAGTTTGTGTTTGGCTAATTAATTTGAAAAGCACTTTTGAGTAGTAATTAATGTTTGGTCAAACTTTTGAAAACTGCTTCTAATAGCATGTTTGGCCAAGTTTTTTTTTTGGGCCAAAAGTGCTTTTAGGTGTTTGGCCAAGCTTTTAGAAGGAAAAAAAAATACTTTTGAGGAGAAGCAGAAGCAGTTTTTGAGAGGCAGAAAAATGTAGTTTCTTTCCAAAAGCACTTTTATGAGAAGCACTTTTGAGAAAAATATACTTAGAATCAGTTTTCAAAAGCTTGGCCAAACACTAATTACTGCTCAAAAGTGCTTTTCAAATTAATTAGTCAAACACAAATCGATTCTCACCAAAAGTACTTTTTGAAAAGTACTTCTGAAAAAAACACTTCTCAAAATAAGCAGATTTTAGAAGTTTGGCCAAACAGGCTATAAATATATTTTTGTCAAAAGTGTTTCTCCGAAAAGCTTGGCCAAACACGTTATTAGTGACCAATTCAAAACTACTACTTACTATCAAGTTTTATTATCCGTTTGTCTAACGTTTGTCAACAACCATTTCCATTATTCCGGTTGTATAGCGCCAATGTTACTTTTGTAAAATTTCCTTAAATTGGAGACAAAACATAAAAAAATGGCCTAAAATCATCCTATTTGTGCAAATCTCCCAAAGTTTGCCTAATCCGGCGAAAATTTACCTACATTGTAAATTATGGCTATGTTTTAAATCGAACAATTAAAAGTGGCTAGCGATGTCACGTGCAAAAACTATAAATACCCAAAACTCGGTTGGTTAAGAAAACCAAATTGAGAGAGCAGCAGCAATGGCGGCAGAGAAATTATTATTGCAATGCGGTGACTGCGGAACTCTGCTAATGTCCGTAGAAGAAGCAGAACAGCACGTAAAGCACACTTCCCACACCAACTTCTGCGAGTCCACAGAGCCAATTCGCCACCTCGTTTGCACCGTTTGCGGCAAACCTTGCCGCTGTAAAACCGTAATATTTTTTTTTGCCTTTTTCCTCATTCTTATTTATCATTCGCTAAGTTTTTGTAATAATTGAGTGGTTTAAGTTATATACACTCAGGGACGGAGCTAGTGTGTAGATCAGTAAGTACTTGTCTTAAGAAATCGATTAAATACGCACAAATTATTACTTTAGAACCAAGTAACTTAAAATGACTAGAATCCTGAACTCGTAAGCTTCAAATCCTGATTCCGCCTTCAGGGGCGAATGTAGTGTTGAACCGACGGGTTCAGTTGAACCCATAACATTCGACGTGAAGTAAAGATTTATAGGAAAAATTCATTAAAATTGCAAAAATAGTAGATATGAACCCATAACTTTAAAAGTATAATGGGTTCAATGCTAAAACCTTGAAAGTTGAACCCATAGGATTTAAATCCCGGATCCGCCTCTGTCCGCCTCTAATAGTTTAAAGAATTTTTACACTACCATATTTAACATGTTATTGCATGTTGTTTACTGTATTTTCAAGTTACTAAATCATGCTTATTTTAAACAGTTAGCTGTTATTGCAGGCAGCTTAACCTGATAGCGTAAAAAGTTAATACACGGTTTTGGTACAAAACTTAAACTCATGATAAGAAATTCGTTGTTTCGAGCTCAAAAACTGTATTAGTTAAGGTGTACTCCTTCAGATTATTATGATATCTTGTGAGAATGTAGGGCTGATACTCAAAATTTGGATGAGATATTTTTGATAAGTTTGTGATTGAGGCGTAGTTGATGGAATGATTAAATTGATGATAACTAATAACAATAGCTTAACTTTGGATGAAAAATCGGGAATTCTAGTTGTTATAATTGTTATATATGCTATGCGACAACTAAACTTTAGATGTAGCTTATGAATGCAGATGAGAGGCGGGTTCAAGATTTAAACTTTATGGGTTCGGAATTCTAGGACCGCGATCTCGAGTGTTAATAAATAGGTCCGAAATTTAATATTTTTACATATTTAGTGAAAGTTTTTAACACTTATATAGTGTCTAGGCCAAAGCTACTGGGTTCGGCCAAACCCATAGCTTACATTGTAGATCCGCCCCTGATGTAGACGTAGCAATTCAATGAACTGTAGATATAAGTAACTTATGAATGCAGACACTGCAATTTGATGAAATAATATGCTTTATACTCTGAATTTCAATGGGAGTTTCAATGTTTAAGCTATGCTAGTGAACTGTTGATATAGCTTCTGGAATGTAGCTGATGCAATTTGGGAATAACTGCACCTAACATTCTAAACTTTAATGGCAATTAGGGATGCTGATAGTTATGGTTATGCAGTTATGAGAATTGAATGCAGTACATAGCTCGGGAACATATGCATCGTTGTGCTGCTGAATTCTGTAGCTAATACTTTAAGTTTTGATGATTCCAGTTACTAAGTATTGCTATGAAAATTGAACCATTGATATAGCTTGAGAATGTTGCCATTGCAATTCTTGGAAATCTAGGCCTAATATTCTTACTGGTCGTATTGTTACGTGAAATAATCTTGGAATATTCCACATTAGTATTGGGTGTCTGGCTACCTTTCTTTGGTTTGGATATTAGCAATTCCTGCATCAATTATGATGTAGATTTGTATTATTTTATAGCAAATATGATATAAAATAACAGTGCATATATTTGCAATTCCTGCATAAGACCTCGTAAAATGGAAAAAAGCTTCCCTTAAACTGTTACCTGTTTAGTTAACCATCTCTCATTTTTGTCATAACATTATTAAAGTGTTTATATCAAAGGCTCCATGTTTAGAGGAGGAATGCAGGATTAATTTATTCATCTGATTTAATTTAAGGTTTCTGTTTAAAACAAGAGATGATTAATTTAAATTTTGATTATATTACATAATTGTGTCTAATCGCGTATCATGCTAATACTAGATTACATGAAGCAATGTAATATTAGGTGAGCGTATTATTTGAAACAAACTTTCAATTTAAAACAAAGCACATGTTTTAGATTATACATCATATATCCATATTTTAATAGGATCAAACAAATATCCCATAATAAAAGTACAAGTCCACTGAATAATCCAGCATTTAAGGTGCAGTACGATCCATGTACTGTAATTCGTATATAGTGTGTCTGCTAATCAAACTACGCCTTAGTTTTGATAGGAGTTCCAATAGTTAAATTACGGTATTATGTTCAATAGTTGGTATAGCTTCTACATGCAGCTTATGGGAACTTTTGGGTTTTGATTTATGAAGGAGTTTGATTTTCATGCAAAGAGGACTGGGCATACTAAATTTCAGGACAAGACGGCAGAGGTGGCAGAAGAGGAAGAAAGAAGAGCCAGGGAGAAACTTCGTCAGCAATTCGAAGAAATTATTAAGGTTAGAAATCCTAATGTGTCTAAGAATTTTGATTATGCTAAGAACATGTCAGTAAGTTATGCTGATTGCCAAATGGTTGGAAGACAGTCTAAATGGCTAGAAATGAAAATTTGCATTTCGTACAAATTGACAAAGATTCTTTTGCGTTCAGGTGTGATAACTTATACTTTTCCTATCGATTTTTGGTAAACATTCTAGGGTGAGACTTTCCCCACACTATTAATTATCCTTTCGGTGTGTTACTCAGGGAGTGAGCTTATATCCTGCTTTGACCTTTTGCTGTCAGATTTTTACCGGTTTATTTTTTAATTAGCTGCATTGGCATTTTTGCTCTTTGTAACCTGTTGTGACCTGAAGTTGCAATTCACCAGGTCAAGGAATACTGAAACGTAATGTCTGAAAATCGTATTGTTCTGGCTACTTCTACTGTATTGTAAACAGACACTAACTAGCAAATTAGCAAATTTTAATTACTTGGTAATTTTGTGATTGAGATTGACTTTTTAAATTTCCAATACGATCTATCAGGCAACTTGTTATTTTCCTGTTTGCATTAAGCTGACTCCTTTTTACCTTTTAATGGTTTGGTTTTGGGGTGGTAGGGCTTCCTGAGTTTGCTTGGATACTAAACAATGATTTTCTTCTTAACAGAAGTATGCAAATTATTGCCTTAAGAGAGGTATGCGATTCCTCAAGCCGTTGGATGGACTGTTTGGCTTGAAAGAAATAGCAGAATTTTATAAGGCAATGGGAGAAATATCCATAGCCTTAAACAAAGATGTATTTTTTTGCTAGTTTTTTGGTGCAACCTCGTAATTGTACAGGATGATGATGCAACTTTAGATACAATAGGGGATCTGCACAACCTGTAATTACACCTTGTCGCACTGTCTTAGTACAAGCATTTACAAAATCTTTGATTACTTATCGAACAAATTATTGCCTTATTTTTCTTACTATGGCACATTATGCACCTGTAATGCACTCCACTCGTGTATTACCAAATACTTGCATTCTTTAACTGTAACCGAACAGAAGCTTTAAAATGGATACTATGAGGTTGATCATTTGCAGAAAATGCAACCTAATCTTTCGCTGTTTGTCGTTCCAAGTTTATAAAACGAAAAGGGCAATGACAAGGATGCTGGTAAATGTGTAGGATTTGGTACATCTAGGAAAATGTAAGGTCTGATGTGGATCACGTAATCCTATTTGGTTTTTTTCTTGATTTGGATCTTTCTTTTGTTTGTTATTCTTATTTTTTTGTCTTTGAAAGTGAAATGTATCGGTGAATGTCAGTTCATGCACAAACATATTTATTCAGAATATGCACATTCTTGCTTTTTACGATCAACTTAGCCAATGTGTTGATGACCATGTTACACCTCATCCAGATCAATCAAGTGCCATCTGATGAACAAATATATTTATTTCACAGGCAGAAACCAGAAAACTGTTTGGTTTGCCACCACGAAATCCTGCTCTCGCGAAACTCTTAAGACCTCTTTTGGAGGAAGAAAAGGTGTGCATTTGTGCTGTTGAAATCTGTGGATATGGTTTTGATCCAATTCGGACATGCTTGTCCCTACTCAAGTTGCTTTTTAAATTAATGCTGTAGAGTTCATTGCCAGTCAGTCCAGCTACAAAGGCAGAGCAGATGAGTGAGTGCCTCCGGACTATCAAACAGACTCACATGGTAATGTTTCTGCTATTTTACGTCCAACTTTCTCTTCTTTCTCATAGTCATAGTTAGAGCCATAAGGGATCTAGTGGACCTTTAATAAAACGCTGAAGTTTTTGAAGTATACAATAACAAGGGTCTTCCAACAACAAACACACTTAGGAACTGAAATGGCCTATGATTCGAGTCTACTATTACTTTGTGTGGCTTTGTTCCACAATTGAATGAATTGTCCTTTCAATCTTTTATTGTTTTAAACTGATTTTTTGTTGATTTTCCTTTGGTGGACTAGGATGATGAGGCCAAAGTCAAGAGCTCTTTCAACACACTGCTAACTTATGCTAAGAATGTGGTAACAAATCCAGATGAGGAGAAATACCGTAAAATTAGACTCAGTAATGCTGCTTTCCAGGTGAGTATTTATGAATTAAAAGCGAGTGTGGCCATTTTTTTTGCTTTTTATTTACTTATAAGTTGTGCTTATCCCTAACCTTTAAATCCAGTCAAGAGGAAAGCTCCTGTTATCCTTCCTTTCTATAACATCGTTAGAGCTCGAGTTCATATAATTCCTTATAGTAGTGAAGGGGTGGAAGGCAGGTTTAAGGTGTTGGGATTCCCTCCAGTAAAGTTTGCTCCAGTATCCTTCAATAGGGTTCTGATCCCTTGACACGTGTCCTGCTCATTAGTTGATGGACAAGATTTCTTTACTTCAATAACTAATTTAACCATGGTTACGTCTCTCTTCTTGAAACAGAGACAACAAAACTCCGTTGGCTACTCTGGCAGAACGCCTTTGGAGCATCTTTCTTCGCCTATTTCTTCCGTTTTTCGACACAAATACCTCATCAAATATTTTATGAAAAACGTAATTTTAGTGTGTAGATATTGGAAATCCTTACCAACAGTAAGGCAAAATGAAAAAAATCATCTTCTTTATACTTAAATTTTAGAACGAATAAAGTGGAAATAACGGTGATCATAATAGACTTAAAAGTATTTTCATAGGTATTAAGGTGAGGTAAGTGCAGATGTTTGTTAAGAAGATTCCTCTCTTCACCACCCATTAATTAACCCTGCAAATTTATCAAACACTAGTTGTAGAAATCAGAGAAGGGAAACAAGAAGAAAAGAACAAAAAAAGGGAAGATGAAGGACTCGTTTAGCAAGGATGGCCTGTTTGAATTAGATTTAATAAGAAGAATATCTGAGAGACCTGGGGAGGTTAGTCATGAGAAAGGAGAAACATAACCATGGTTAAATTAGTTTTTAATTAAAGAAATCTTGTCGATCAATAGTGAGCAGGACACGTGTCAAGGGATCAGAACCCTATTGAAAGATACTGAGAGCAAACTTTACTGGAGGGGATCCCAACCCAATTTAAGTACTTGGATCAGAATGTTTTAACGCTAAGTCAGCTCCCAAGCCCCATAAAGACTATTACCCTGATCCATTTTTAATACCCGACACTCCTTTTTCCCCCTTCTGTTGTTTCGAGTTGTTCCCAAAAGGGTCTACGGGAGCAGTGGGGATCCAACCACAGGCTTTCCAATTCGGCAGAATCCAATGCTTCGAGTCGAACTTTATATGCATGTGCGAAGAACAATTATAGATAAGAGTTTGTTATATCTTTCAGAACTCTCTCTCAATTCACAATGTCTAAATTCTGCATTTGCCACTGTATGGGAGTGTTGGTTGGTTGGCTATGTGTTATCATCACCTAATTGTATACAATTATATCAGCTAAGTAGAATCTTGTTAAACCGATTGGATCATGGGCGAAGCTATATGTCTTAAAGAGTAGTCAATTGACTACCCTTTGCCAAATAATTGCACTGCATATATAGGTAAGATATGAGATTTTAGAAGTACATAACATATACTGAACACCCTTTATCGTGACATTTTTTCACTTCTTTGAAGTTTGAACATACTTGAGTAAATTTCTGGCTTCGCCACTGGATAGGATTCTTGAAAATGTTCTCAGAATTCTATAAGCAATTATCATGGATACCTTGGCCAAAAGTAGTTTCATGACACTTAATCCTGTTTTGACATTTCGATTACAGGATAGGGTTGGCAAATTACGAGGAGGCATCGAATTTCTTGAGCTCTGCGGATTTGAGAAAATTGAAGGGGGTGAATTCTTGTACTTGCCAAGAGAAAAAGTGGACATGGATGTGCTTTATTCAGCTGGACATGAGTTGAACAGTGCAATTAAAAATCCCTTCTTTTGAATCCTATGATCCATACATTTAGGTAAAGAAAAAATATCAACTGTAAAGGATAGTCTCTCATAATTCAGTCATATACAAAACTCTAAGTATGACATGGTTTCTCTTTAATATGTGGATTGAGATTATGCAGGGATTTTGATCAGTACTGGTGATGAGATTGGAAAGTTTTTTCTCCTTTCTGAATTATCTTGTAGCTATAGCCTACAGATGTATTTTTCTTTACGAGTCGTGTTTATTTTTGTTTAGCTTTGCATGCATGTTAGTAGAAGACGTCAAAGTAGTAAATTCCTATAAGTGAGATCTGGGGAGGGTCTTACCCCTACCCTAGGGAAGACCCCTACCCTGGGTAAGGCAGAAGGTAGTTTCTGATAGACCCTCAATTAAAGAAAAGATGGAAAGAAGCAGTGTCAACAAGCAGTAGCAATAGCAAGATATTAAGAAAACCAAAACGAAAGATAGCAATCAAACAGTAGGTAGTAATAGCAATCTAAGAATAAAAAGATACCATACACTACTAGAAATTCAGGCAAAACTGTCCACAACCGACCAAAGTTGGTCGGTAATGGCCAATAACAGTGCAAAACGCGACCATTTACATGTGGACGGTATTTTGAAGGTCGGAAGGGCATACCGACCAAAGTTGGTCGGAAATTACCAACCAAAGTTGGTCAGTTAAATTCAAAAAAAACATATTGCCGAAAAAATTCCGACCAAAGTTGGTCGGTATTTTAGTTATGTAATTAGAAAATGTACCATCTGAAATCGAACCGGGGTCTGTACTGTGGCAGGATACTATTCTACCATTAGACCATTGGTGCATTTTGTTTTAAAAATGTCTTTTATTTCATTTATACTCTTTAATTGTATTTTCGAACGAAAATAACCGACCAAAGTTGGTTGGTTTTATTAAAAAATAAAATTACCGACCAAAGTTGGTCGGTTTTTAAAAATGACCGGCCTAATTAACCGAGCGATTTCGGTCGGTTTTTTTAATATTAAATTTAATTTATTTTAAATGAAAAACTGACCAAAGTTGGTCGGTTTCTTGAAAAATAAATTTCATGGGACTCAAAAATAGTTTCCCGCATTTTTGCGCCAAAGAAAACCAACCAAAGTTGGTCGGTTTCTTGAAAAATAAATTTCATGGGACTCAAAAATAGTTTCCCGCATTTTTGCGCCAAAGAAAACCAACCAAAGTTGGTCGGTTTCTTGAAAAATAAATTTCATGGGACTCAAAAATAGTTTCCCGCATTTTTGCGCCAAAGAAAACCAACCAAAGTTGGTCGGTTTCTTGAAAAATAAATTTCATGGGACTCAAAAATAGTTTCCCGCATTTTTGCGCCAAAGAAAACCAACCAAAGTTGGTCGGTTTTCGTAAAAAAAATAAAAAAAATAAAATATTTTGAAAAAACGACCAACTTTGGTCTGTTTTTTGGCCGGTTTTTTGACCGACCAAAATTGGTCTGTCGACCGTGGTCGGTTTTTGCCCAATTTCTAGTAGTGATACTAATACTTAAACTACTGGTACAGGAAAGAAAAAGTAAAACGCTTGACTACCTACTAACCTTCTACCCAATTTTTCGACCTCCACAATTAAGGGTCATGTCCTCGGTAAACTCAAGTTGTACCATGTCCTGCCTATCACCTTTCCCTAATATTTTTTTGGCATATCTCTACGTCTCTTCATACCCACCAAGGGCAACCTCTCGTACCTTCTAACTGGATCATTTGTGTTTCTCCTCTTTACATGTCCGAACTATCACTGTCTCGCCTAACGCATCTTTATCTTACTTCTAGTTTCAAGTATTAGTATTTAGTCGTTTGGCAAACAAAAAGCAAGTTATTTATTCTTTTCTTTTTTTATCAAAGCTAATATTATTGCTCTAAATAGGGGGTGTTAATTAAATTAAACGTTTAAGATAGATAAAAATGGTACCTTGCTAGTTCAAAAAGATATAATTGTTTTGTTTCTGAAACATTGACACATGCACTTGTGCGTGCACATTTATTTTCTGTATCATTAAAATGTAGTGATACTATGATCAATCACGTCCTACCAACCTAATAATTAAAACGAAAATAGTCATAATGCTTCCTAACAAGTGAATAAATCAAGTAATGTTTTTAATTTATACTATCTAATTTTTTTTCTCTTAAAAAGCTACTCCTTTCAGTTTCAGTATCATTTGACAAATTGGGCAAATATTTATGGAAAAATTAATAGGTCAATTACAATTTACTCGGTCCAAAACATGTTCTCCTATAGTCTGCAGTTATATTCACGTTCTTTTTTATTTTTTATTCGCGATTACTCAATAATTTAAACTGTAATTATTAATGCCGGGAATATTTTTAAAAAAGAAGAAGAAGAAGAAGAAGAAGAATCTTTCATCACTCTCCATCCACCACTGTACACTAGTATTCTTTTTCCGCCACATTTGCAGTAGCATTACTTCCATTTTTCCTTCTCATTTCTGAATCTGTTGCTTTTTACTGTTACAAACCAATCTTCAAAAATGAAAGTAATTCCCAAACTCAAACTTCCAAAAAAATCTCCCAAAATCCTCAATCCCCCCCCACCTAATAGATCATCATACTCTAAGAATAATAATAATGAGAATTTGAATGAAACCCATTTCATATCTCTAATTCACACTTGTAAAAACACCCTTCAACTCCAAAAAATCCATGCCCAAATCATTCGCCAAAACTTATCATCAAATAGCAGAATCATTACTCAGCTGATATCTTCAGCTTCTTTACGTAAATCCATTGACTATGCATTGTCTATTTTTAATTATTTTCGTGGCCCGAATTTGTATTTGTTTAATGCTTTGATTAGAGGATTGAAGGAGAACTCTTGTTTTGAAAAATCAATTGGATATTTTAAGCTAATGCTTAAGATGGGCGTTAAGCCTGACAGGCTAACGTACCCGTTCGTGTTGAAATCATTAACGGCATTAGGTGAAAAAGGAGTTGGTGGGAGTGTGCATTGTGGTGTTTTAAAGATGGGATTGGAGTATGATGTGTTTGTGAGGGTTTGTTTGGTTGAAATGTATGTGAAAATTGAGTTGGTGGAGTTTGCACTCCAACTGTTTGATGAAAGTCCTGAGAGAAATAAGGCTGAGAGTGTGCTTTTGTGGAACGTCGCGATTAATGGGTGTTGTAAGACTGGACAGGTGAGTAAGGCGTTGGCGTTGTTTGAGGAAATGCCTGAGAGGAATGCAGGTTCTTGGAATACTTTGCTTAGTGGGCTGTTGAGGAATGGGGAAGTGGATAAAGCGATGGAACTTTTTGATGGGATGGTGGAAAAGAATGTGGTTTCTTGGACTAGTATGATTCATGGATTAACACTAAATGGGTTGCACCAAAAGGCTCTAGATTTGTTTTTCAAGATGGTGGAAGAAGGTACGAAGCCGAATGGTTTAACTGTTGTATCTGCACTTTCTGCTTGTGCAAAAACCGGGGCACTAGAGGCAGGGAGAAAGATTCATGAAAATATTTCGAACAATGGGCTCCATTTGAACGTAGCGGTTGGTAATGCTTTGCTTGATATGTATGCGAAATGCGGGTATATTGAGTCTGCAAGCCTGGTTTTTAGTGGATTGAAGGAAAAGGATATTCGTACGTGGAGTATTATGATATGGGGTTGGGCAATTCATGGACATGTAGATAAAGCTCTTAAGTGTTTTGAACAGATGAAATTGGCTGGTACTTTACATATATCCTTTTGTCCATCAAGTTATTTGGATTAACTAGAAAATTCTTTGATTTTTTTTTTTTTTTTTTTTTTTCCTAATGGTTGCAGGAATCAAACCTGATGGAGTTTCTTTCCTTGCTGTTTTGACTGGATGCTCTCACGCTGGACGGGTGGATCAGGGCCTTCAAATCTTTCATAGCATGCAGCACGAGTGGTCGATTGAGCCTACTATGAGACATTATGCTGTAGTAGTAGATCTACTTGGCAGGGCTGGCCGATTGGATGATGCCTTTAAATTTATCGAAATTATGCCCTTGGAGCCAGATTGTGTCATTTGGGGTGCACTTTTTTCTGCTTGCAGAGCTCACAAGAACATTGAAATGGCAAAAATTGCATCAGAGAAGCTCCTGCAGCTTGAGCCAAATCATGCTGGGGGCCATGTGTTTCTGTCTAATGTTTATGCAGGAGCAGGGAGATGGGATGATGTAGAAAGAGTTAGAAGTTCAATGAAGAACAAAAATGTTGATAAGGATCCTGGATGGAGTTCGATGGAGGTGGATGGTCAATTGCATACATTTGTTGCTGGTGATAATGCTCATACACGTAAGCAGGAGATATACTCGAAATTGGAGGAAATTATTACGGGAGCTAAACAACACGGTTACATGCCTGAAACCGAGTGGGTGCTTCATAACATTGATGAGGAAGAGAAGGAAGGAGCTTTGGGAAGTCATAGTGAAAAGTTAGCACTTGCGTTTGGGCTCATTAGTACTGGTCCTGGTGCGATCATTATGATTGTGAAGAATCTTAGAGTGTGTGGCGACTGCCATTCGCTAATGAAGTATGTCAGCAAGATGAGTCAAAGGGTGATTGTGTTAAGAGATATAAAGAGATTCCACCATTTCAAAGATGGAGTTTGCTCCTGTAAAGATTACTGGTGAACTAGTAAGTGCTTCCTGACTTTCAATTTCGTCTCAAATTTGCTAGTTAAGCTTTTAATCTGTTCATATATGTCATTCTGGACTTCTAGCAATTGCTGGAAGCAGTTATAACTAACCTTTTGTTGCTTGCAGTTTTACTTTGGTTTGGAGTAATTATCAGACCAACCAAACTAATTGAGCCTTGTTTTTATTTTGTTTCCTACTCCAATTACCCCTGTTGTTATTAAGCCAGTGACCCATTTACCAATGGTTGATACAAAGGTTGTCCTGTGGAACTACAAACGAGTAATAGTGACATATAATGGGAAAGAAGTGGAGGAAGAAGTCAATGAGACCGGAGGAATGACTCGTTTTGGGAGGTATTTTACCCCAGAAGAATTGAGGAAGGCCAAGTCGTTCAAGGACAGCCAAATGCCAGTAAAGAAGCCGGTCACCGAGGAAGAGGCTGAAGATTCTTGAAAAAGATGAAAGTGCAAGACTACTCCATTGCGGAGCAATTAAGAAAAACACCGGCTCAGATCTCTCTATTGTCTTTACTGATACATTTAGATGAACACCGCAATACCATGTTGAAGATTTTGAATGAGGCACATGTTCCTGATAAGAACAAAGTGAATCACTTGGAAAAGATTGCTAGCAAGATCTTCGAAGCAAATACGATCACTTTCTCAGATGATGAACTTCCTATGGAGGGTACAGAACACAACCGAGCTCTTTGTCTCACGGTGAAGTGCGAGGATTCTGTTGTCACGAGGGTACTGGTTGATAACGGCTCTAGTGAAACTATTTCCCCTTTGTCTACTTTGCAAAAGTTGAAGATCGGCACTGAAAGAATCCACATGAATAGTGTATGTGCTCGAGGTTTTGATGGGGGAGGAAAAGATTCTACCGTGATATAATGCTCGAATTATTGATAGAGCCAGTTGAGTTCACTATGGAATTTCAAGTACTATATCTGGCCCGTCTCCTACAATTTGTTGTTGGGCAGGCCCTGGATACATGCGGCTAAGGCGGTTCCGTCTTCTCTGCATCAAATGGTAAAATTTGAATGGGACAGGAAGGAAATAGTTGTGTATGGTGATGAGGACATATCTGCTTATAATGACCCGATTGTTCCATATATTGAAGCTGAAGATGAAAAAGGACCTTGGGTCTACCAAACTTTCGAAACAGTGTCTGTTGAGAAGATTCCTGAAAGAGAATGCATTCCGGGGCCGAGGCTATCCTCCGCGTCCGTCATGGTAGCAAATGAGATGTTGAAGAATGGTTTTGTGCGGGGTAAAGGTCTGGGTTCAGCTCTATAGGGTATTGTGCATCCAGTGTGCCCACGTGAAAACTTTGGTACATTTGGTTTGGGATCCACGCCCACAGAGAAGGATGTAAAAAGGGCTAAAAAGCAGAAAGAGAAAATATGGTCGCTCCCCAAGCCTGTTCCACACATCTCCAAGTCTTTTATCAAGCCAGGGGGTCCCCAAAATGTCCAATATCATCGGTCCCGAAACCTGTAGTTGATGTTGATGAAGAGTTGAATAGCAAATTGATAATGTTTTTCTCATCTAAAATCTGTTTTCGCTACTCAATAGCTTAAGCATTAAAGTAATATGAGAACATCAACAACTATACCTTAAAGCCAAACTATTGGGATTGACTACATGAATCCGGTATATATATTTCATGCAATAGTTTCTTTAAACAGGCAGAAAACACAAATAGACCAACCAAACCAATTGGATTATTGCCAATTTATTTAAGTTTACTGTTTTTTGACCTCTGAAACTTTTATTGATAAATATGTAAGTATGTGTTATTCACAAAAGCACCGAGGCTGCTAGGCTACAAATAGGAACTTTCCTTTCCTGGCAATATTTTATGTTGCCAATAAATTTATGCATGAATGCAATAGTAACCTTAAATGCCCAGTCGCTTTTTGGTCTCTGATTTTCGCGATTGGAGGAAATGCGTCGGTGATACTCTCCTTTATCAGAGGTTGTTTTAGACTTCTGTAGAAGAAGAGAGAAGGTATGGAAGTGGTCCCGAGTGTCTCTTTTGGAGTTTAAAGCTGGAATGTGATGATTGGACATTCCAAGGGGAAGAAATGTCATTGACAAGTTCATTTACTGATTTATCTGAACATGCCTTGTGTGCACAAATATAGTAAATTGCGCATACCTAGAGCTTAGCCATGTGCTGTCCTTTCGTTTTCTCTAGTGGGATAGCCACTTCTTTGTGCTGTTGGAGCTCTTACACAATCTGGATTTATTTATGACGAGGTTGGTGCATTAATCGAAACAGCCAAGTTGACTTATTTTTTCTTTTTAAAAAATAGTGCACCAGTTTCCTTCTGTTCTGAAGTTAATGATCCTTGTCTTCTTTATTGGCTTCATTTCTGTCTTAGACTATTAGTCAAATTGCTTTCCTGCTAATGCAGGAAAGAATACAAGTTGGCGAAGAGCTACTTGGAGAGATGCTGATTAAGGAATAAAATGAATTAAGTGGTCTGTCTCAAACTCCATTATCTTTTGGTTTTCCTCTCAGTAATGTATGTCTTGTATAATTGATAGTATTACCTAAACCAGAGGAGTGAGCCTTGGAAATTTTTTTGTGACAAACAGGGAAAGATAAGGTCAGGAAACCTGAAGGATTGGATGATGTGGTTTCTGCAGTCTCCTTCCCACTACTCTTTGTTCCTCGCAGGTGGTAGTCCACAGTTCAGAATGGTGCGTCAGCGCATGCATCTCAAAGTAGATACTCTTTTCATGGGCACACTGAATTTCTAGTGGGTTCTCGATTGCTGACACTGATGGCATCCAGGGAAAATTTGCAGCAGACAGTAGCTAAAATTTGTGACCAAGGCAAGTCTTGAGTACAGCTTCCCAACCACTCTCTGTCCATCCTTTAAAGCATGGAAGGGAAACAATTTATACTCGATCAATTATTAGGTTCTCTTAATTTCTTTCGGCAGTCAGTTATGCATTTCCTAAATTTTTGGGAGTAACTGCTTTGATCATAATAGATCCATTACTTCCAAAAGTGAAATAAGAAAGGGCAAAGGTATTAGGACAAGACTGCTCTGCCTGCTGTTCCATCTCTCTTTATTTCCTTAGTTCTCCCTTTTTCCTGTTTTGCTTTGTGTAGTAGTGCATGGTTAGCTCATTCATCATTGATTGTAGGCTCCTTGATGATCATATCGTCCATGTTGCCAAATCGATAGTTTTTGTACCAATGCTCAATCTTATCAATCCATGTTACATGAATAAGTAGTATGCTATCTTATGACACGTGGATAATCTAGGTATCAAGAATTCCAGTGCAGGTGTCAATATATCCGTGGACTTCTTGTAACACGAGTGTGAAAATAGAAAAGAAGCTTCTCATTAACTTGGTAAGTAAATATTGAAGATAGAATATGCTAAGGTATCCTATAGAATATTGGTTATCATAAAAAGGTAGCCTATAGAATATTCTATAAAGTTTTCCTTATTCATGTGCAATGAATCTAGACATGGATGACTCTAGACACATATTCACTTGATATTCTAATAACGTGTTGACCATTGATTAATTTAAGCGGTTCATGGTGCTTTCTCTAGGTGATGCAAAACAACTGAATATTTGATTCTTGCTTGTCCCAGGTAGATCTGGCGCATTTTTCCTGCGTCCACATAGATTTGGAAGGAGCAAAAGTTATCAGGACACCAGGTGGTGGAGAATCTACTGCTTTCTTGCGATCGGTTGCTCCAACTGCAAATAAGCACATGAGAGTTCCTGGTAATTCATAGCTTCAAGAGAGATAATAGCCGTGGCGGAAATGGCACTTGGCATCATCAATCTTGGAGAGCATTTTGTGAAGATCCAAATAGTCTTCAACTTTTGTGAAGATTCAAATAGACTTCAACTGCCATGTATGTGGCAACCTGAATAACTACGGTAAGGAATAGAGTCTTCTGTTCAAGGGCACATTCCTCCCCATATCTTGTGCCCTTGTCAAGCAGGAACGGTGGCACCGTGGCACCTGCTTAGCAGGTATAAGAGTTGCTTGTTAGAGGACTTCTCCAAGAACAGAGAACAAAGCAAACCCCAACACTGCTCAGGCCAATACCGCGGTTAGATGAAGTTTATTAAGAGTTGAAGCCTATGGTGGAGCTAGTGTGTGGGTTACGGGTACGGCCACACCCAATAACTTTGGTCCAAACTTGTATTTGTCTTGTGAAATTGATTGAATATGTAAACAATTATTAATTTTGAAGGTTACTTAAAAGAACTAGAATCCCAAATCCATAAGTTTCAAAATCCTGGCTCTGCCTCTGGTTGAAGCAACAATGGTTATGTGCTTATTTGTATGAGGCACCTCTCTATTTCCCCATTTTTTTCAGCAAACCTCCAGTTGTGCAAGTGGGTTTGGAGCTGGTGAAAGAGCTGTGGCAGTGATCATGTGCTTGATTTGCTAGTTTGTTACATTTCTCTTGTTTCTTATATGGAAAACAGTTTGGACGAATAGACTGTTATTGGCATTAGGTAAATGTATTGGCTTGACTCTGTCGTTTGCTTTTTGTTTATTTTTGAATTGGTTTATTCAATATCTGCTTCTTTCATAAGAATGAAAATGCGATTAGAAGGGAGACATTTCAGGATAGTATGTTGGCTAAGCTGGCAATCATAACTCTAAGGGGTAGTTTGGTTTGAAGACAAGTTACACTGCGATTAGTTATGTTGGAGTTGTTTGATATGTTGTATTAATTTTGTGATTGTCAATTTTACTGCTTTTTTCTGAGTTAACTTATCTTGGGATTATTATTTCACCCTCTGACATGTATAAATTATCCCGGTACTAAATTTTAATCCTGGGATAATTTATCCCAAGATTAATAACCAAACAAAGGAATAGGGTGATACTGAATTCTTAGGGGTACTAAATGACCCCTAAGAAATGAGAATGTATTTTGTCAATGCTAATTGGAAGTAGCCATCGGCCAGGTCTTGGATAGATCTCAAGCGAGCTTTGAACTGCTTTATTCGGTCTTCAGCCGGCCTACGAGGCTGTTGAAAGAGAAGAAAAGTTTATTGTTATTGTAATTTAATAGGCCAATATTTGTTTGACGTTTAAAAGAATATTCAAGTTGAGTTGTGCTTGTACATAAACTTCACTCGGAAACAAAAGTTCTGAAGATTTGTAAGTGAAACTCGTTATATATAATACTTCTCAAATATGATTATCATTTTTTTCCCCAGTATTTTAAATACTGAAGTTTAATATTTGCAAACTGATGGTCTAGCCAGTATTCCGCAAGAGGAATTTATATAGTATACAACCTTTTTAACACTTATTTAAATTTTCTACAACTACTTTCACAAAATTACATAAAATACAGTTTATTTTAAAATTTACAATGTTTTATGTCCCTAATATATCTCTTCTAACATTCTCTCGCCTAAAATGTACCCTAACATCTCTCTTAAGATTCTCTTCACCTAAAAGTATCTATCATATCAATTTTCCCCCAATTTCTCCATTAATATATTGTATACTGCATATTTTCTTATACAAAATTGTATATTTTATATAATTAAAATATATAATAATAGGTTGTATAATATATTTAATATATGGTATATAATGTCCGAACTATATAAAATATTACTTAAACACTTATATAATATTATCTTTATATAATATATGTGTGTGTATATATATNATTCAATATACTATAAGTTTTAAGAAAAGTTCAATGGTATATGCTATAAGTAACATTAAGTTATCTTTTTTGAACTTTCAAAAAAATGAGGAGTATTATGGCAAAGAGCAAGAGAGTTATATCTGGACAAATTACTCTCTGAATGAGGTAGAGTTTAATGAAGAGAGAATAAATATATTACAAGTTCCAGTAAGATTATCACTGCTGCTTTGGATGGAAGTTATCCGTATACATTAATTTTGGTTATGCCCAATTATATAGGGATTCTCCCTACTTTTCAGCTTTTCATTATTGAAATAATTTGACGTGTAACTTGTTTAGTTGTACATTATGTAATATCTAATTTGGTTGTAATATATATAATTAACTTTTGTAGATATTGTGTTTATGAAAATTTCCCTATTTGCAAATATTGAACTTTAGTTTATACAAATACTGAAGTAGTATATGGCAACCGATTAGTCTCTCTCATCACTTATATTTTAATAAACTAGCCGTTTGACTTGAAAGCTATATCATGACTATATGCAACTTCTTAATGGGAAAAAGAATCAGAACTAACCTAGTTTACAACTGTTAATTAAAAATTAGTTACAGTTTTAAAACTAATTTAAATTTAACTAATTTTTCATATAAAAATAAAAGCTCAACAAAAACAACCGTTAAAAATCTGAAATACAACAACAACAACATATCCAGTATTATCCCACACCCGTGAGGTCTGGGGAGGGTAGTGTACGCAGACCTTACCCTTACCTTGTGAGGATAGAGAGATTGTTTCTAATAGACCATCGGCTCAGGAAAGTATAAGCACCACATTAATGAAAATATAGACAAGAAAGGACAGTAACAAAAAGCCATATAAAAGAAGAATAAAACAACAAGATAGTAAAGTATTGGAATTCTAGCATAATATGCTCGAGTTCGAATTTTTTACATATGAGATTCCAACATAATGTGTTGGAATTTCATAATATTCTGGAGTTCCAACATAATATGCTGGAAGTTTATACGCAGGAGCATATTATATTGGAACTTTTCGTGTTTCGAGTAGGGTATTTTTGTCCAGATTTTATCTCCACGTAAAATAGTAGTTTCAATGACTTTGCAAATATTGGTTATTTTTTAGTTAGTAGTCCGAAAATTGACTGGCCCATGCTATTTTACCTTATTAATCTGTTTAAGGTTTTGGTTAAGACATGTTACATTAAGAAGAGGTAAAATTACATTAAAGAAGCTCTTTATATGAAAATTTGATTATTATTTTGTTTACCCTCAAAATCGGATAACAATTGAATTTGTTACAAAGCGATAAATTAGATTTGAAATTGAAATAAATAATGATAAATTAACCGCAAACCACGTGAGTTGAATGATTTCAACATAAGGAAGCTAGCCACCCTTGAGTTGAATACACTTTTGTTAACACAAAAATATCAAAGAGTAAGAACTTGGAGAATGTATTATTTATCAGTATATGTTATAATGTCATTAATGAATTGTCAAGTCCTCTTTATATATTGAGGGAGACCTACCCTTTAGGGTATTATTTTATTGTACTATAAAAAATATAGGTCCTTGATTTTGAAGACCGTTGGTTCCCTTTTTGACTAATTCTATGATTTCTGCCATAATAGTTGGTTAATGGCAAGAATCACGGACCCCTGTCGGATGAGTTGGCAGATCTTTCTCTAAACCGTCAGAAACATGAGCGATTACGCCTTCGGTAGACTCGAGGGCAAATCTGATAATCTCGATGGCTAGTTTTGATGATGCTTTGGGCCCGATCTTGAATATTATATTCCGCTCTCGGCTGACCATGTTGGATGTCAGATCGAATCTCGGATTTTGATTTTTACCCTATTACAAATGTACCGACCTAGGCCCTCCGTTTCACAAGCTCGATCGAACATCGAGCTCGGTTTTACCCGTACATAAATAGTCCCCTCATTTTTCGGAGAGTAGATGACGGAAAACGATATGAGCCTCAAATTCTCATTTCGATATATCATGACAATAAGAGAAAAAATACGACGTCAAATCCCCTTATTTTTCGGAGAGTAAATGATGAGAAATGATATGGGCTCCCGATTCTCACTCCGATAAATCATGACGACAGATTCATGATGTAAGTGATAAGAACAGTTGAAAATG